GATTTAACATTTATTCCATTTTTCCATGCCAAACATGCATCTAGGTTTATTATAAATAAAACCCAAATTGTAAAATCACACAAAAGCCCCAAACTTTCACCAAATTACCAAACCAACCCCAACATCTCAAAATACTAAAATTTAAAGACAAAGCTCATAAAGAGGAGTAGGATATCCCTACCTCAAATTCGGAGCTCCAATGGAGATGAAGACCAAAACCAAAACGCTCCAAATCCCAAAATTTTGATATTAAAATGTAGCCCTCGACGATCAACACAACTTTCGTAAAGACCAAAAGTGAGCAAACAACTCCTACTAGATCAAATCTAAGAGAGAAGGGCCGGTTTTAGAGTGAGAAGCTCTGAAAATGGCTTTTTGGAAAAGTAAGAGAGAGAAAAGATCTTGAAAAAGTGACACAAAAGTCGAATCTCACATTTAAATAAGCGTCGCCCCGCTCGAGCGTCAAACTCCCCGCTCGAGCGACACTCACAGACTCCCGCTCGAGCCCAATCCCCCGCTCGAGCTCCGGATGCACACTCCCAAAACTTTTGCAGACAGGTCTCCCGCTCGAGCTTCCAACTCCCCGCTCGAGCGGTACTCACACAATCCCGCTCGAGCGGCCAATCCCACGCTCGAGCGTCGAACACTGCACAGGAAATACTGGATGGGTGAAACTCCCGCTCGAGCGGCCAGGTCAAAATCTGGGCAACTAGTTTTGGTTTCTAATCTCAACCAACCTGTAACAAACCTGCCTCACACATCCTATAACTCAAATACAAAGTAAGAAAGGATGTACACCAGGTAATAATCAACTACTATCATCCACGGACACATGTCCGAATCACTGTACAACAAGGGTAAACCCGGGATCGCTATAATTATCATAACTTCAAATAATAAAAGATTTGACACTAAATATTTTATTCATGCAAATTCAAATAAAGGAATTGTTGTGTTCCTGATATCTGAGGAAGTTCGCATACATGAAGACATTTCGGAAGTTACAAGGGTGGTGAATAATAATATTGTCCTACCAGAAGGTAAACCCTAATATATATATATATATATATTTTTGTTTATAGAGATTAATATTTTTAATTATAATTTTTAAAATTATAATTGCCAATAATTGATATTCACGAACCTTTAAATTAAATATTAATTTTTAAGTCAATCATTTCTCAATTAAATTTTAGATGATGAAATAGTCATGCCCCTCATAGCTGAGGACATTCAGTTGCATGGAGATGTCTCAGAAGTCACTTTGACAACAAATGTTAATATTCTTCCACAACAAGGTAAGAATAAACTATTATGTTATTCATGACTCATAATTTATACTTATCTCATTACTATTCTCATTGTATTATTTCACATAAGTTTATTTTGGGATATTTAATTATTTTTCAATGATTTTTTACGATGAAATAGTCATAAATCCCATAACCGAGAGCATTAAGTTGCATACAAATAATAACATTGTTCCACGACAAGTAAGAATTATATTGTAATAATTTTGTTTAAAAAATTAATGACAACTCCTACAATTTAAATATACATTGTCTCAAAAGTATGTATATATATTTATGTTAGGTATGTCTTTCATGACTTAAACCCAAAATGTCATAACTTTTTCACTACAAAAATCATAACTTTATTACACAAAAAAATGTCATAAAAAAATCTCAAAAATGTCATAACAAAATCTCGAAGTGTCATAAAAAAAATCACAAAATGTCATATTATTCCTAATTTTAGGGTGCACATCATAAATTCGCTATTTATAACTTTATTACAAAATGTCATAACACATATTACAAACAATCATAACGTTCATTAGTAAAAAATCATAACTTTTTTACAATGTGCATCATTTAAAAGGGTGCACATTGTAAATTTTTCCTACATATAATACTAATTATTTACGATGTGCATCATACATATGTTGCAATCGTTGCACGTCACAGAAAACGACGCGTACTGAGTAGATGGAAATTTAGTGACAGAACATTCACATGTCCGCGATGTGACGCCATCATGTGGTTAGATGAGAGAACAAAGGATAGTTCTAAAACCAATCCCAAATTCAGATTATGTTGTCAAGCTGGGGAGGTCCTTTTACCTTTATTGCCACACGCTCCTGACTTCTAAGATGCACAATTGAGGAATGCAAGTTTTATGGAAAAAATTAGAATGTATAATTCAATGTTGTCTTTCACATCAATGGGTGGAAAAGTAGATCATTCAGTTTTAGATGGAAGAGGTCCATATGCATTTCGGATTAGCGGGGGAAATTATCATAGAATAGGGTCACTGCTACCAACTCCTGGTCAGAAACCTAAGTTTGCCCAACTGTATATATATGATACAGAGCATGAATTGCAAAATCGTCTTGATGTGATAGGCCAAACCAGTACAAATATTTTGGGCATTAATTTGTCAATATTTGAAGGTTTACAAGAAATGTTAAATGCAGTTAATCCTTATGTGAAAATATTTTGAAGTACTGGAGATTTGTTGTGGGATCGTAATGTATTGAATCTACATGTGCGTATGTTAAACTCCAGAGGTGAACGACAATATATCAGGCCAACTGCAAATGAAGTTGCGGCGATAATCATTGTTGATGATGCTGGAACTGAAACACATCGTGATATCATTGTTCAGAAAAATGATGGTATATTAAAAAGAATCAGTGAAATACATCCATCATATGTACAATTACAGTACCCATTACTGTTTCCATATGGTACAGATGGATGGAGGTGCGGCATCTCTTCTAATACATTCTCAAGCAGATCTCGAAACAATGTGTCAATTAGAGAATTTTATGCATTTAGACTCCAACATAGAGAATTTGAAGGTAAAACACTTTTAAGAGGAGGGCGTTTGTTTCAACAATTTGTCGTTGACTGTTATGCTGCTATTGAGCAAACTAGATTGAATTACATCAAGACCCATCAAGTTGAGTTGCGCACAGACCTATATCAAGGAATAGAAGATGCTGTAGTTGCTGGAGATGTAGATGCGTCAGTAGTAGGGAGAAGATTTGTGTTGCCTTCGTCATTCTCTGGGGGGGCACGTAGTATGATCCAACGTTATCAAGATGCTATGGCAATTTGCAGAACTATTGGAGCTCCTGATTTGTTTATCACGTTCACATGCAATCCTATATGGCTAGAAATAAAAGTTGATCTTCCAAGACTATCGAATCAACGTGCAGAAGATAGACCTGATATCGTTGCTAGAGTTTTTCGGATTAAGTTTAAACAATTACTAACCGACTTGAAGAAAAATAAAATATTTGGAGAAGTACTTTCAGGTATTATTATTCTAACACCTATGCATTTATGATATAACAAATACTCTTAAATGTCTAATGTATCAATAATTATTTTTATGAACAGTTATTTACGTCATTGAGTTTCAAAAACGGGGATTGCCGCATTCTCACATTACAATCACACTGGCATCGGAGAATAAGCCAATCACACTTGAACAAATTGATGAGTTTATATATACTGAATTGCCTGACAAAAATGTAGACCCATTGGCATATGAGACTGTCGTCAGATGCGTGATACATGGACCTTGTGGTGCTGCTAATCCCAATGCTCCATGCATGGTAGATGGAAAGTGTACAAAACATTATCCGAAGAAATTTTGTAATGAAACAACAATTGATGATAATGGATTTGTATCATACAGACGCAGATGTAATGAGGGCAACACAATAAACATAAATGGATTTATAGTTGATAACAGATGGGTCATTCCATATAATTGTGATCTTTTGATGCGATATGATTGCCACATTAATATTGAACGATGTGCGCATCCGAAGTTGATGAAATATTTGTACAAATATGTCAACAAAGGGCCTGATCGTGCGACAATTGTGATTGAGGATAATGTTATTCATCCAAACAATAATGGGCAACAACATTACAAACAAGTTGATGAGATCAAACAGTATTTGGATGCTCGATAAGTGTCTGCGATTGAAGCGTGTTGGAGGATATTTAAGTTTGAAATTCAGAAACAAACTCCTTCTGTTGAGCGCTTACAATATCATCTTCCAGGTCAACAATTTGTTATATTTAATGACAATGATCATCTACACAAAGTTATTGACCAACAACGTGTTCATGACACAATGTTGACCAAATGGTTTGAAGCAAATAGAACCCACCAATCTGCAAAGGAGTTGACTTATGTTGAATTTCCAACAAAATGGGTATGGAAAAGAGATAAAAAAGAATAGGATGTCCGAAAATCACATAAATGTATTGGTAGATTGCCATATGCACATCCAACATCGGGTGAGATATATTATTTGAGAATGTTATTGAATAAGGTTCGTGGTGCAGAAAGTTTTGAGCATATCAGAACTGTAAATGGGGTCGTGCATACAACATTTAAATCTGCATGTATTGCCCTTGGTCTACTCAATGATGATAATGAATGGCACGAGGCATTGGCAGAAGCATCAAATTGGGCATCAGCAACAAAACTTCGACATATGTATTGCACAATGCTCATGTTTTCTGATATAACCAATCTAGTCGAATTATGGGAACATCATTGAAAAAGTTTCACCGATGATATACAATATAGAATCAGAAGAGATATGAGAGATAGTGATCTACATCTTGACGATGAAGACTTAAAAAATTTAGGACTTCTCGAAATTGAGCATATATTAAATAGAAATGGAAGATCTCTCAAAGATTTCCCTCCCATGCCATTGCCATCTTCGCAAGGTGCTCAATTTGTGACAAATAGGCTCATCAGAGAAGAGATGGAGTACGATAGTGTTTCGGAAAAACAATTGTTCAATGAATTACATTCTGGTTTAAATAGTGAGCAATTGGAAGTTTATGACACCATAATGAATGCATACAATTGTAAAAAAAGGGGTTTGTTTTTCCTTTATGGAAGTGGGGGAACAGGAAAAACATATCTGTGGAAAACATTGATAGCAAAGTTTAGGTCAGAAAAAAAAATTGTCCTTTTAGTTGCATCATCTGCAATTGCGGCTTTACTGTTACCAGGAGGTAGAACTGCGCATTCACGCTTTAAAATTCCAATTAATTTGGATGAATTCTCAAGTTGTAGTATTAATCAACAGACTGAACTGGCAAAATTAATTCAAGAGGCATCATTGATCATATGGGATGAAGCTCCAATGCACCATCGTTATGGATTTGAGGCAGTTGATCGTACTTTCAGAGATATACTAAAGGGTACAGAATTTTGTTCAACTGATTGTTTATTTGGTGGAAAACTATTCATACTTGGTGGTGACTTCAGACAAATTTTACCTGTAGTACCAAAAGGTAGGCGGGAAGCCACAATTGCAGCATCGTTGAAGGAATCGACTATTTGGAATCATTGTCGTGTGTTGCATTTGAGGACCAATATGCGTATTATGGCCCATGATACTTCTATTCAAATGCGTCAACAACTAAGGGATTTTGCTAACTGGATATTGATGATTGGTGATGGAAAAATACCTGGAATTTCTTTCACTGAAGGCGGGGAGACTAATTGGATTGAAATTCCAGAACAGTTCTTGATTAGAAATGGATCACATGCTCTACATGATTTGATCCATGCAATCTATCCAGAATTAAGTACTAGATACAGTGACAGTTCTTACTTGAAAGAACGTAGCATCTTATGCTGATGTTTTTGAATTAAATGTCATAATGCTATTAATGTTGCCTGGAGAATCTCGAAAATACCTAAGTGCAGATACGATATGTCCAGCTGAGGATGAGAACATTGACGAAGGCATGCATCCACCAGAGTTATTGCACTCATAAAATTTTCCAAGAATTCCAAGTCATTGCCTTGAACTCAAAAAGGGAGCACCTATAGTGCTACTGAGAAATCTCAATCAATCTTAAGGTCTATGTAATGGCACCAGTCTTATTGTTGAGAGAATAAGAGATAAAGCGATTGAGGCGCGAGTGATTACGGGTTCGAATATTGGGGAAGGAGTCTTCATTCCACGTATCATTTTATCACCATCTACCACACATTCACATGTCCCGATTAAAAGAAGACAATTTCCCATAAAATTAGCATTTGCAATGACCATAAACAAAAGTCAAGGTCAGACTTTAAAAAAAGTTGGCGTATACCTTCCTAATCTAGTATTCTCCCACGGTCAGTTATATGTTGCCTTATCGCGTGTTACCACACCAGCAGGCTTGAAGATATTGATTGTTAATAAGGTTGACCAACCGTCAAATTACACAAAAAATGTTGTATACCGTGATGTCCTTGATGGCATTTGAAGATTGAAATAAAATGTCTTTTCAAAATTTGAATGACTATGTTTTTTTT